TGGGAGTTGAAGTCCACTCATCTTAAAGTGGCCAAGTTTGGACAACACTGTCTTAGAGTATAAGTCTCGGGCACTTTCACTCTCTGTATGGGCCCATTAAATATTCCACTAGAGGTCATTCAGAATTAACTTACTATAAGCATAAAAAAGTAGCTTTCTCTTAGATGTCTCACTTTAGCAAATAAGAAACTTAATGAGTGTATCTTAATATTGTTCTCTCCATTCCTAGTGATTTTACCAAAAACACGTAGGTGACAGCTGGATTCTCAGGTAATGCTAAGCCATTGCTTCTCTAACAGCAGTTTATTGAAAAGCCACTTTTAGCTAGTGGCACATAGTGCCATAAACTGTAAAGCATGGTTTACAAGTCAGTGTTTATCTCTACATAATGAGACTCTTCGGTTTTACTTTTCCTGTTGTAGGAACTTAGTCATTGCTGTTTGTAAACCATGGTTTATTGCTTTGCATATTGTGTGAACCCAGATAACGTGGTTCACAAAACCCTTGTTTCATCTCTATTAAATCAGGAGGACTGGAAATTAAGAATGAAATCCCTCTGTGATTTCAGGTCTATTTGTAATGAAGGTTTCCTAAATCTTGCTAGCAAAGAGCAAACAGTAGCATGCTTCAGTAGCTATTCCCAGCTTTACTTGTGAGTTAGATATGCAGCTGAGAGAGAAATCACAAGTATAGGCTTGTTTTTATCCTCAGAAGGATAGCTGTTTTTCATACATTAAAAATACATATATTTTATAGAAATAGTAATTTCTTGTAATTCCCGGGAGGAGCACTGCAAACCAATCTCTCTTTATTTAGCCTTTCAAAGAGTAGGACTTCCAAATCGTGAGAAAGACAGTTTGGTTTCAGGCGAGATGTTTCCCATTAAGCATCTGAGAACGAGTTAGGCCTGTGCGATCCAGTTACGCTGAGCCCCAAAGAGGAGAAAATGCAAGGCTTGGGAAGGCTCCCTTGAGAAAAGCAGCCCGCAGGGAAAGGGCAGGTGTGCCGCCACCTGGATCCCAAATTCAGTGCTGCCTTGCTTGGCCTAAAATGGTTTTTCCTGCTTTCAATCTTGCTTTTAAAAGCTTCATCTCGGAAAAGGCAGCCCGCAAGGAAACTCTCTCCCTGGACTGATCTGCGTTCCTTTTCGGCCAATGGCCGCCTCTTGCTTTTATCGAAGCCACGTTCCCTTCCCTGGTTCCACAGCCAGCCTAATCTTCCTGAGATAATTGATGTACCCTTCTGGCTTCCAATTTCAGACAGGCTATTATCCCTCCCTTGTCCTTCGTTGCAGCCCTAAATTTACTCCTGACAAACTCACTTCATAGCTTTCTGCTTTTATTATCATGAGAGTAATTCAGGAAGCTGAGTCATGAAACCGGCCTTGGGTTTCCTATCAGCTCGTCTGCTCTCCCCTCAGGCCTGCGCCAGCCCCTTGCAGCCCCCGATACTGCAGGAGAAGCTCCATCTCCATCCAAGAAGGGTCTGAGGCTGCTGTATCTCAGCTTCCCTCTTTATGGGCATAGGATAATTTGGGGGCTTCAAAATACAATCCATGGGTTGAGGGAAAGCACAAGCTTTGGAGCGAAAAAGAGAAAGCTTGATGATGGAGATTATGATAGGAGAAAGTCCTAAAACTTTCTCTTTTAATATGCATTACCTCCTGTTTTTATCTTTTCAGTAAGTGGCCTTACTGCAGTTAATGAAGGAGAGTTTTAGTGCTATGCCTTCACTGTCAACCCGGTAACAGGAATCCCACCCCCAGCCCACTTTTGCCTGTTGCATAAATATTAGAAGAAAAGCCCAGTTTGCACCAAACTGTTTGCCTTCCCATGCCCTAGATTTGTAATTCATGAGCGTCGCTGCAGTGAATGCAGAGGGCTTGCTCAGCCACTTCCGACTCTTGTCCATTCATGTCTGGTCACCGTGGCTTGCTTGCTTGCAAGCCACCATGGCTGGGTTCGCACAACACTCAGCCAAAGCTAGACAGAAACCACCTGACCGCTGAGTGCAGGGCGGGAACCCAGCCCAGGTGTGGTTGATCCGGTGCAGAAAAACTCACACTTTTTTTTGATGGAAAGATTGCATTGGGGTTTCTGGATTGGATACTGAAAAGAAGCTCCATTTGCTGGGTCAGTTTTTGCAGCAAGAAATGTAGAATCTCTCTGCTTTTTCTTGCACAAGGAAGAGATTGCCTGCACCGGCGATTCATTTCTCAGTAAGTTTTTAAGAGTGTTTTCAGTTGAAAATGTTGGGTAAAATGCAACACGCTTATACTGTTCCTTCACAAATCCAGTTGGGCTGTTCAATAATTGCCCCAAACTTTGTGTCAACCTTGTCTGGAGCGTGCGGTGCCCAATATCCCCCCACCAAAGTGTTCCCGGTTCTCTTTCTCTCTGCCCCTGGTGCTTCATCTGCAGAGCTGTGGCGACTCAGTGCCCAGATTCTCTGCTATTTAAGAGGTTCCCGTTTATGGGGCCAAACCTGGGGGATTTAATCCAGGGAAACTGGCAGAGCAGTCGGGGCAAGACAAAAACGGCCACTCGCCCTCATGAGAAAAATTAAACTCTGGAGTCCTTGGGGTTCTCTGAGCTTGGTCCTTTTCTTGCAATCGTTTCTTGGAGGGCATCGAGGGGCTTCCGGGGTCCTTCAATGCCCTCCACTGTATGGCTGGGCAAGCTGTGGGTGTTGAACCCCAGGCAGCAGATCCCTGGACCCCATGGTACCTGGGCAAGGTTTCATTCTGGCCCCAAAGGACCCCTCAATCAGCTGCAACTTTTTTTTCCCCTGACTTTACAGGTATTGGATGAATCCAGCCAACTTTGTTTTATCCCAAAACCCACCACAAAACAAACCAGGGTTTGGGTTCTTCTGCGAGGCCGGTGATCGTGAATGGAAAAGCATTGCTGACCGCGTAGTGTGGCCCAGCTCGGGTGTGCCCTCCCTTCCAGG